AATTATTGCAAAATTATCATACTAATGTAATACACTATCTGAATACCAAGTGCTTAAATGTAGTATCAAGCATTTCATAAACACCTAATATATGGTAACAAAACAAATGGCAGCATAAGTTTGAATAATTTCGTTAACAAAACGAAAATATCAGCAACTTAAACTCTTTCAGGAAAAAACACCCATGATTTGGCAAGCTAAGTCCTAACGGTGAGATTCTTTGGAAACTCTAAGACTTACAAATGAAATCTGAAACTCTGAAAAAAGACCACAGATGCAGAAACTGTCCTTGTTTTCCTCTGAGACTTGTCTAATGTGGGATTTGGACAACCTCTGTACTCATCCAGTTGGGCAGCAGGAGGGAAGTACCTGCTGTGTAGGACAGACACATACAGGCAAGGGGAGAGTCTCCTGGTGCCTTGTTGCCTATGAGTAAAGTAGCGCGACAGCAGGGAGGGGAGATGAACTGAGCTGAGCATGTAAGGGAAGCAGCTGGACCAGTCTGAAATAAATGGGAAGGGAAGGCAGGATGGCACCTCCCAGTGCCACCTCCTGCGGCAATGAGAGGAATGAGATCCTTAGCAGACACTTTCAGGAAAGGAATGCTCTCTCTGCAGATGCAGATCTTTTAAGGCCCTCTCTCTGAAAGTATGGTCATCAGGCAGAGGCTAGAGACAATGATTCATAAGCTAAGTTCATGAGCTATACTGCATGCAAAAAATCATATGCAGGGCACTACCTGTATTTCTTCCCCCAGACCTAAAGAATATATCACAAGACCTCTCTAATCTGATAAAATTATTTATTGGATATAGCTAATGTCTAGTGGAATTCTATCCACCCAGATCCATATACTTCCCCCTTCTAAAGATCTGTGGCCAGCCAACAGACTATTAAAAGCTATCTACATAAATTTGTTGGGGAAATCAGAAAAATGTATAAAACAGACAGACAGGAGAGATGTGGCACCGATTCCATATAACATAAATACCTCATTGTGCATCACCAGCTTTTCTAATTATAAAAAACTCAAAAAAGGGTAACCTTCATGCAATACTTAGGCTCATCTCCTGTTGTAATATTGCCAAGATGACATTCATCAGACATGTAAATAAATTCGCAAAAAAAGCAAAAGCATAGCATTCAATTCAGTATAACATCACACGTATAGTACTTTATATATCATTGATGTAATTCTTTATTCTCTATTAAATATTACCTCAAAAATGTATCAAATGGATATCCACGACTGCTCGTTATATTGTTAAGCAACCCCCCAAAATGGTTAATTTTGACAGTTGGATGTAATCAAATAAAAACCATCCAGATTGACTCCTCAGAGAAGAGACAATTTGTTCTGATTAAAAAACAACAACAGTAACAAAGCAAACAAACAAACAAACCGCCACCACCACAATAACTTACTATTGTGGCAGCAACAGAATTTCAGTAAACCAAATTGTTTTACATCCCTAGTACTGTCATATTGATGCTTTCCTCATTAGTCAGAGATCAAAGAAATCTGATGTCTCACAAGGGGTTTGAACTACAGTGAAGAAAACTCTTAACTCCTGGTCAGTTTTTGAACACCATCCAAATCAGATAAACAACACGTTGCTGTTCTCAATGAGACTTGTGTGAAATGGGACTGATAGTCTCAGGAAATTCAGAACAAAGTAAAAAACCTTTGCCTTGCATATGAGTTTGAGTCATGCCCAGCTCTGTAGTGAATCTCACAATTGTTCTGCAGACTTTCTTGGTTTATTTTGTAGCCTCAACTCTTTTCTTAGCAGCATGTACCTATAGTTCCAACCTATAACTATCACTCTATGCACTAGCAAGCGATATGAGTAGAGACCAAGCAATAAGCATAGAAATTGAAAAAAACCTTTAAATGTCAGATGCCAGTCAATACAGGACACTTTATGTTTATTAGTTTCTACACTCTAGATAAGAAGTATAGTAAAAAATTTCAGTTTTAAATTGACTGAATTCATGTCTATAAAATAATTTAACTTTAGGAAAACCATGTTAGACTTTATGAAAACCATGTTAGACTTTATGAAAACATATATATTAATTCATAAAGATGTAAGAAATATCTGGGCTGCTGATACCTAACTACACTGACAAATTTGATAATTCTCATGTCATAAAAGCACTTGTTAAATTAAACACTTAGGCATCCCATTCCTGAGGCTTCTTGTCTCAAAACCTTGTCAACACTAGATAGATCTCCTCTGACATGATCCTAACATCACCATGGTTGTTTCAGAAAAAGGCATCTCCAGTGCAGTGGGTAGATAATCCACAGCCTCCTTGGCTGCAATCTGAAGCACTGCTCTGTGGTTAGTCCTTTCTGTGTATTGTAAATCTGCCACTGTGAACTTCACAATATGCAACTCTTCTCAGTGGAATTTCAGAGAAATCAGTATGCCCTGTCTCATAATTTACCATTTTTCTTAAGATGACACCAAACTGACAGCACACCATCTGATAGCAATCCACAGTGATAAACATCCAGGGAACAACTACAGTGTGTTTCTCTACTGCTCTCATCTTGTTGTTTACATGTTGCAGAGCTGCAATAGCTTGCATACAATTCTTGGAAGGTGCTTTTTTTGTCATCCAAAAATTCTGAGGCTGTAGCAGATCATTCCCATCAGAGCTTAATCCTCCCACTCTGTTCACAGTACAGGCCTCCAATGGTTACTTCACATGCATATTTGCTCAGTGAATGCACATGAAAGTGGTCGGCTTCACTTTCTTCCCCTCAGATCCTCACAAGTACCCTACAGAATTGGTATTTTCCCTAATACAAACAGCTATTCAATGCAACACTTATTTTTCTAGAGAAAAAATGGCAGCTAGATGGAAATGGAACACTTAAAGGCATAAAGGTAAACTGGAACATACAGATCTTGGGTCTAAAATCTTACAGCTATCTACAGTTTCATCCTGAACACCATGTAGAAAACTCCAGAATACACTACAAAACATCCCCCCTAATGCCATTTACCATATGAGGGTATTGGGAGAAAACTTGCTAGCAAACCCTGGTTTTGTGTGGATGAAGTAACAAAGCAAGCATAGGAACACTGACAAAATAGCTAATGTCAGAATCATTGCATTTACAGAACTTCTTCTAGCATGCTTTTCTTCTGTCAGTCAGGCATTAATAACCTTTCCGTAACCTTAAATTAAAAATACCACATGCAGATTGATAGCTCATTCAGATGCCATACTGCCATGTAAGTCATTGGGCTTCATGCTGGAAGTCTAGGAGCACGTTAGATAAACACCTACAGGAATGGCAGGAGTATTCCCAATTCTAGTTCATAGCAAATCCTTTCAATTTCTGTTTTCTTGATTATTTGCTATAAACCAAATACTGGGCATACCTGTTGAACAATTACTTTTCCTATGTCTCAACTACAAGTTGCATGAGACTGGTGCAATTCTCTGCATTGTGGAAAAAAATTCTACTTAGGATCAACAACGTTATAGTAAACCACATACTAGTACTACTAAATATAAAACATTTAAATATAAAATATCTTTTTACAGACTACTGCAGACCAATAGTAAGTGAAATCTCACAATGGCTAATGGTTGATTCTTTTCAGATATCACAGACATAAATAAACAAGAGCATTCACACTGTGAAAAACACTACAAACATATAGAAGTAAGTTGTGAAGATTCTGCAGCAGACTCCTGCTCATGTCAAGTGAAGTGCATACACATTATTCTCATCAAAACTTGCTTTTAAACTGCCTTAGAGACTGCCTTGTGTCCTACAGTTGCCAAAGATAAAAATGAGATACAAGAAAACCTTCTTCACTTTGATTAGTCGTGTTGGGTGGGAATAATGCACAGTGAGTTATGTATCCTACTGTGCCCAAAAAATCTTAAAGGTGATGAAGCACCCATGAGGCAGGATGCACAAGAGGATCCCATATGATGCGCCGTGTTCTTGATCTAAGATTTCAAAATTTGTACATTTTGTGTAGTACTTGGCTAAGCATTTCAGTGTCTGAACACGAAAGTTTAGTAACTGCACTCAGTTGTGTCAGAGCTACAGTACTGCATTTCATCTGAGCATGCTGTCATTTATATACCTATATATTATATATCTATCCATATATGTACATAAATGAATGTACCCATTTGCAAATAGATAGCTAACATATTTTGACTAAAATAAAAGATATACAGGAATAAAGTTCTGAACTTCAAATAAAATTCAGAATTTTAAAAATCATCATGCCATGCTAATTCTGAAATATTTATTTCCATCTTGATTCTGGAAATAGGACTGAATCCATTAGTATGCGGAATGGAAAGTGAATAAACAGTTTCATTAAGGAGACATGTTCGCTCCAACAATGTTTATTGGGTCAAGCCTGCACTCTGGCTGCATATGGTGTACCTTTAAATGGGGCCGTTAAAATACCAAATAAAATGTCAAAGTCTGTCAGGTCTGGAGCTTTTATAAATTGTTTAGACTGGGGATAATTTGGGTTTCGTACATCATGCCTTGCAGATCGCGCGGCACGGAGATAGGAGCGGGAAGGCGGTCCGGGAGGAGCACGCGGGGCAGGCAGCCTGGCAGCTGGGCACCTCCTGGGCCATCGCCCTCCTCTTCCTCCTGGCCTGCTGCCTGCCTCCCCTCTCGCTGGGTGGTATCCTGAGGTTATGCACGTGACTAAATAACCATATTAAAAAACAAAACAAAACAAAACAAAAAAACTGACTTCAAAGCGAGCGCCGCCGGAGATGTGAATGCTATGAATGACTTCACCTCGGACTGCAGCACCTCTGCGCTGGAACTACCCACCGCTGCTCCAGCTCATGCACTGCCACACCTTCGTGGCCGCCCTCCCGGCTCCCCTCCCGCCACCCTCCCCGGAGCAGAGCGCTGGAACAACGCCTGCCTTCAGCCCCCCGCGCTCCCGGCCCGCCCGGTGCTCCCACCCACGGCGCGGCCCGGACCTCACCTTCAGCTCCCGGGAGGCCACGCGGGCCGCCAGCTCGATGACACAGCCCACCGCCATGCGTGCCGCCCCGGCCGAGTGCAGCTCGTTCCAAACGGTGTCACTGTCCACCTGAGCAAACAGCCGGCCCCGAGAGGAAGGCAGGGGAGAGGGGAGAGGGAGAGGGAGAGGGAGAGCATAAGAGAAAACAAACCCGTGAGGGAGGGCTGGCAGCGTGACAGCCCGTGTACAATAACATCAGTCTTCCGTGCTGGCCAGCTGAAAGGCCTTCTGGACATGGCTTTGCTTATGCTTTTTCTCTGCACGGGCTTCTCCAATGGAAACACATTCCTGTCATGCCTCGCTGCCATTCCCTGTTTAGATTTCTCATTACAAACAGTGTTACATCGTTCGGGCCAGGCCTGCTTGCCAGACGCTCCTCACGCCGGCTGGAGGGTTGACGAGGACCTGCCACCGCCTGGACCGAGTGTCCATCGGGAACAGCCACCGCTGGCCCCAGCAGCCGGCACGGGCAGCCATCAGAGCTGGTCAGTGGCATAGGCCAATGCCTCTTTCTTAAAAATGAAAAACAGCAGTAAGCACTCATCTTTCCTACCCAGGCAGGAATTGGTTGTGACTGAAATCAGAATGATTTAATTTTTTTGAGTAATTTTGGTAGTCAATATTGCCATAGACAGAAAATTGAATTAAATAAAGCGAGACCCTTGCTGTATCTCCAGTTCTGATGAATTAATAAGTTTTGACTGAAAGGCCTTATGTTCCGTTTTGTAACAGATGAATGTGGTTATTTAAAGCAGAGAAAATTATTTTCTGCAATTTCTAAATGAGCCAGTGTGACTTAATAGACATTGTATGTATGTTACAGAAAATATTCTAAAGAAAACGTTATAAAGAAAATATTATAAGGATGGCTAAGCAGCACCATTCTACAGCTTCCATCAGTATGCTAAAATTTTACTTTTGAAATCTATATTTACGAACTGTTTATTTGGAGAAACATAGCAAAACGTATACGTGAAATATTGTGTATCCCTTTATGATATTATGCCGAGCAGATTTGCTGGTGTTAAATAGTTTGAGAATGTTATCCAAAGAGACAGCCAGACTTCCTCGATGCTCCATGGGAAGTGCATTTAATTGTATCGTACCGTACAAATTTATCATGAAAAGAAAATCGTTTAGGGATAGACAAAATACTGTGGCAGATGCTATTTGGATGAATTCCAAGCACACTAAGACATGTTTTCAGTTTGAACTAGAAGCTTCTGTTCCTAATTTCTTTGGGGGGAAAAAAAAAGGGAAGAAGAAAAGAAATCAAGTAATTGAAAATGGATGCAACTGCTCTCAACTCTGGAGGTTCTGAGGAATTTCTCTGATTAGTCATTTGAAACAGAAAGAAGTTTGATCTTCTCTACACCTGTCAAATGTCTTCTGTGTTACTGTTACAATAATATTATATTTCAAGCTACTAAAATGATCTTAATTTCTAGTATACTGGACCTGATTTTTCTATCATTTTCATCAGTTTTGTGTCCATGCAGCAGAACTAATGACAATAGTTTGTATTCGCAGTAGAGCTAAGAAAGAAGACTGGATTTCACTTGCAAAGTTTAGAATAACAGTAATCTAACAGTATGCCGTGTTTTCATCTGAGAAACTCAAATGTTGTACAAACACAGTTAAGCATCATCAGCTTGATACAGGATGATGTGTTATCTCTTTTGTAGATTGATACCTTGGCATTTAATGAAATTTAATAGTTTTCCCAAAGATGCACACTAATTAATAGGTAACTAAGACAATTACAAGAAGATATAAGAAAGAAGCCAAGTAGTAAAAAAAATTACATGTATGTAACATTAGGCAGACCTTCAGATTGTCTCTGTCTTGCTTTAAAGCAACTGTGAATCAAATTTCATTTTTAAAACAAATAAAGAGATAAATAAGTAGAGGTCATTGGTTAAATCAATTTAATCAAATAATAATAAAGTTTGAAAAATACTGTGCAGTATTTTAAATAGAGAACTATTAGCAAGAGGGTTGGGAGGCAGTACTCTCTTACCATTTTTATGGCTAGCAAATTAAGGTTAACATGAAGGAGTGGCTGATGAAAATGATTCAATGGCAGCTGCTCGGTACACCAGGGCACGAGCAGGAACCTGCATCCTCAAAGGGACTATGATTCATTTCCAAGAAGGCTGATTAAGTTAAAATTGTTGCCACAGCTTGAGAGTACCCACCCTTCAAGACAGTTGTCTGCTCTGGCATGTGAGACGGCAGCCTCCCCATTCACTGAATGCTGAGTATTGGCCAGGATACAGCATTTATCATTTTCTGCTTTCAACTGAGTGTGAGTAGACTGAACTGTGACAATAAGACCAAGTATCATCCACTGAAAAATTTCTCTCAGACCACTTGAATGACTGCTGCCTAAACATACCTGGACTGGCAGAAAAAATGGACAATCGGGGAACAAAACAGTGTTTCCTGAGAAATTTTCAAAAATGACCACCTAACTGAACACAGGAAATTCAGGGTATTTTAGCTAATCTCTTGGGTGTGGTACATGAAATGAATGGTAAAGTCTCAAAGCCAGGGGTAGTCAACTGAAGCTGCATACTTTAATGCACTGTAATAAAAGAGAACTAACATAAATACATGAATAGTTACTCTGAAAAGGCACAGTATTATAAACTTAGATGTCAAATCCTATTTCATATTTCTGCAAAGTTAAGACTGGATTTCTGAGGAACATCTCATGAAGAACAACCTAGAAGAACTTGCATCACATATCCAATGCTTTAACTGTAACTAGATAATGCCATCTCACTCCATTTTATATCTCTTTTAGTTCTGTGTATTGCCTTAAACGTTTCAGGTGTTTAAACAGAGATTTACTTTTAGCATTACTCAATGTTTATTTTGTAAATTGCTGTTGAAATACAGTGGTATAAATGGCAAACCCATTAAAATTACAGCTACTAGCCTGGCCCAGTTGTCAGGCTGTATATGAAATGCAGCTATGTAGAATCCTACTTGATATGCTTTTCTTTATTCCTGTGAGATGAAATTGTTAGATTTTATACAAGTAAAGAGAATAAGTTTAGACACTGTGGTTTCCTGGTTCTAGTTCATATATGTATCGCATATATCTGACAGCCTATCTAGATGCTGACTATGCATGAATTTGTGGCAAATATGATGGCTTCTGAATCACAGACTATGACAAAGTCTTCAAATTCTTTGGAGCAGCCAGAGAATTCAGTGAAAAATCTATCTTGATTAGGGTTGTTTTGCAGACAATGTTACACAAATTTACAGAAAATACAGCATTTGTAACTGAATTCTAACGCAGAATCTTAGGCCTTTTTTCTGTTTATTTAAATATATTATTTCTATTTAAGAGTCCTTTAAAGAAATTGTCAGGGTAGGAAAATCTTCTGAATGTCTAACCAAATGAAAACATTTTTTTAAAGCATCAAAATGTCAGTGTTGAACTACGAGCATACTACACATTTCATTATCAAAAATCCTATCACTGCTGCAGCTCTTCAAAGAAGGATTGTGCATGAAAGCCCCAAGAACCAGAGAGCATAAGTCCTATCTGAACACTGACTTTCTAACACACATATGGATTTACTTCACTCCAGGTTTCCTGAATGAGCACTGTAGGTTGCAGGCTTTTTCAAGCACATCTAGTATAGCTCAATCATTGGCATGTGTAGCCAAGCTAATACTCTGTAAAGCTACAGATGATAGAAATTAAGCTACCTGTCCCTGAAGTGGATGTGGAGGCATTAAAGAGGAAGGGAATGACTTAAGTGAAAAGAAATGTAGGTAACTTCTCCTGACTGAATGAAACTAATGTTTCAAGCCCCATGTTCAGAAATTCTCTGCTTTGCACTACAAGAAGAAATTGATATGAATGCTTCCTGCAAGAAGTATCTATGTGATAACTTGACTTTCACAATGAAGACTTTAAGCATACTCAAAACAAGCTAGGAAACAAGAAGCCTAACAGCAGAGACATTTCAGCAGATAGAAAGCTTGTACTGTAACCCCTCTTGGCTGGACAATTTCATGTTAAGACTGACTGTAAAGTTGGGAAGTTTTATTATAATATCTATAGATATACTTCTTATACCTTGCTTGGGTTATGGCGTGTGTATCTGAAAGTAAAGACGAAGGATATGAGAATACATCTGAAAGAGAGATTGCTTACTTAATGATCTTTATGAAATCACTGCAGTTGATGACCCTGGAAATGTTACTTGTCCTGCTATTTACATTTATCTGGAATGTACTTCAGAGGAGCAAAAAAGTAGTGTGAATAATAATGTGAATAAAATGAATAATTTTGAAGTATTTTAAAGATATATTTGTAACTGCTTTTTGTTTTACCCATCCCTTTCCCTGCTACAAAATCTCTTGACTCCTGCTCTCTTTCAGTTCTATTTCTTTTGGAAACCTCCTGGAATCTCCCTAATGATCAGTGGATCACAGTTCTGCTGACCAGAAATGCTGCTCACAGTCTAACAAACCTTTCCATTTTTCAAACCCTGGATGGTTTATTCATCTGTACAAGTTATTTATCTCTCTTAAATAATTATTGTAAACTCTGAAGTTGCCTTAAATACACATCCACTGATAACTATATAAAAATATGAGAGAGCCCAAGCTACTGCTTTGGGATGGATTCAAAGCATCCTAGAACTTTCTCTCCCCACCCCTGCTCACACACACACAAACACACACAACTTGTTATTTAATGTAAATCCAGCTTCTGCAGTGGAATTCTGATTTTATACCTAAAACAAATTAAAAATATACTGAATTGCTCATCCTGCCCTGGATTCTCTGCACAATTGTTGCCATCATTAAAATCAAAACCAGTCCTAGAGTTACTACGTGTCTCTGCAAGAGAGATTCTACTTATTCTCTGAGAACAGATCAGAAATGCGATGTCATCTATGTGTTCATGGAAACTTTCACTTCTGACGCTTCTTCGATAGCAGTCATTGTATTCTATGTGTCTAATATCCTTGGCAACAACCTGAAAAGTAGCAGTTCTTTACAATAGTTTAAAAGGATTCTTTGCCCTTTTTTTAAAG